CCCCCCCCGGGTCGGCCCACATCGCCAGGATGGACCTCTTCAAGACGGCCCTCAGCACGGCAGCCCAGTTCTACCGGGACCTCAACCCCTCGACCCTGAGCGGGGCCATCGACATCATTGTGGTGCGCCAGCCGCCGGTGCTGGTGCCGATCGAGCCGGAGGGCGGCCCCGGGCCCGGCTCCGCCAGCCCCCTCGGGCGCAAGGCCGCCTCCAAGATGCGCGTGGTGCGCGAGCTGCGGGCCTCGCCGGTGCATGTGCGCTTCGGCAAGCTGAAGCTCCTCCGGCCCGTGGACAATCGGGTATGTTGTGCGCGCGCGGGCGCTGTCGCCAGGGGGCGGCGGCGGCTCCTCCTGCTCCTCCTCCTCCCGCACATGGGCCCCCGGCCAGGGCGCCGGCTCCTCACTGACATGCGCGGCTGATGTTGCTCCCCCTTGCAGGTCCTCATCTCGGTCAATGGCCGGACCACCGAGCTGACGATGCGCGTCGGCCAGGGCGGCGACGCGTACTTCGTCCGGCGCGCCCCGCCGGAGATCGGCGCCCCGCTGGATCCGCCCGGGGCCGTGTCCCCGGAAGCACCCTCGGCGGCCCCCGGCCCGGAGGGGCCCTCCATCACCCTGGAAGAGGCGGAGTCGGCGGTGGCCGCGGCGGCGGCCGCCGAGGCGTCGGCTCCCGGCGCGCCGGCCGCCACCCCCCCGGCCCCTGGCTCGCCCTCCGGGCAGCTGGACTCCGTGCGTCCTGTCAACGTGCGCGCGCGCGCGCGCGTGTGTGTGTCCGCCCGCCCCCCTTGGTCCTCCCTTCCTCGCCCTGCCCCCGCCCAGCCGGGCCGCGGCACTGACACAGTGCCCCTTGCTCCCGGCCTCCTGGCCGGCCTTGTTCCATCCTTCCCCCCCCCTCCCCCCCCCCTCCCTTCCCCCTGCCTTGCCCCCCGCAGGCCGCTGGTACGCCTTGTCCGCCGGCCGGCCAAATCTTGCCTGCGCTCGCCCCGCTTGCCCAGACGGAGCCCGGCCCCGGGTCTCGGCCGCCGGCCCCTCCTCCCATGCGCCTCGACACTGACCCCGCTTGCCCTTTGTCCCCGGCCCGGCTGTGCCTTCGCAGACCCCGACTCCATGGATCTGAGCCAGCGCGCGGTTGACTCGCTGCCCGTCGTGGAGGAAAGCATCTCCGAGCTGAGCGAGGCCCTGTGCTCGGAGGGGGGCTTCCCGGCGACCGGGGCCTCCTCCGGGCAGATGCACCAGCGCCCCTCGGTGCAGGCGGCCCTGGAGGCCGGGGCCACGCTGCTCGACGCCTCGGACCCCACCAGCATCGAGCTGTCCCTCTGCGCGGATGTCCTCTTCCCGGGGATGGCGCTGCAGGTGGGCGGGATGCCGGGCGCGCCGGCGCCAGGGGCCGCCGGCGGCGGCCACGGCCCGGCGGATGTTGCCACGGCCGCCCCGGCCGCCGGGTCGCCCATCATCGACGGGCAGCTGGGCACGGCCGCGGCGCGGGTCTTCGCCGAGCACCTGCTGGCGTCGGACAAGCTGGGCCTCGGCTCGCTGGTGGCCAGCTGGCCGGTGCTGAGCCAGGAGCTCTTCGCCCAGCAGCCCGGCGCCGGGACCGATGCCCCGGCCGCCAGCGTCAACCGGCTGGCCGTGCGCATCGGCGGCCGGGTCATTGTTCCCTGGCGGATCGGGGCGCTGGCGGTCCTGGCGCGTGCCTGCCTCGGCCCGCACCTGAACCACCCGGTGGTCGCGGTGGCCGGGCCGGACTGCCAGCACTCCCTGTCGCTGGCCACCACGCCGCACCTGGGACCCGATGGGTCGGGCGTGGCCGGCGGGGTCGACGAGCCGGGCCTGGCCGACGGGGTCGACAAGCCGGGCTCCCCGCCCGCCGGGGCCGGCAATGATGACGGCCCCGGCCCCGGCCCCGGCCCCGGCGACCTCGATGCCGGGAAGGCCGCCGCCCCGGGGCCCGGCACCGCCAGCCCGGGCCCGGTGTCCCCCAGCATCACCGAGTCCGGGCCCATGCCGCGCATCCACCCGAGCCTCTCCTCGTCGCTGCTCTTCCCCCTGGGCGCGGCCGGGTCGTCCGGGCTGCTGACCCCGATGTCGCCCCAGCGGCCGAGCATGCATTTCCGGCCGGGCTCCGGGGGGGCCTCCCTGCCGGGCACCCTGCAGCCCAGCCCGACGGTGGGGTTCCCGCTCGGGGGCGCCGGGCGCCGCGGCCCGGGGCCCCTGCTGGACCTGGCCGACACGGACCCCGACACGCAGGACGACGACATCGAGGAGGTGGACATGCCGTCGGGCGAGGCCCCGGCGGCCGGCGCGGCCGACGCGCCGGGCCCCGACGAGGCGCCCCCTGCGGCCGATGCCTCGGGCCTGGTGGCCGAGCAGCCGAGCCTCGATGGCCGGCTGTTCCAGACGCTGGATGCGTCGATGGCTTCGCTGCTGAACACGGCCCTGTCGCATGCTCTGGAGGCTGCGGTGGCCGGCGGGCCGGCCGGCATGCCGGAGGCCGGGGACCTCTCGGCCGCCGACACCTCGGCCGCCGACCTGGCCGCCGATGCGGCCGATGACTTCGATCTGGACCCCCTGTCCGAGGGGTCGTCCCTGCTGAACATCGAGTCCGGCTTTGCCGATGCCCAGCCCGGGCCGCCGAGCGCGGTGGCCACCCCGGTCCCGGCGCCGGCCGGCGGCATTTCCGGCCTGCTGCGGTATTGGATCCCCTTCTCGCGCCTGGGCGGGGGGCGTCGAGTGGCGGAGCCGGCCGCGCGCCCGGCCCCGGAGCCGGAGGCTGCCCCGGCCCCGGGGTCCGCGGACCCGGCCGGCGCGGTGGCCGACGCCGCCGGCGCCGTGGCCGCCATCGAGGCCGATGCGGAAGCCGCGCCGGCCACCGCTGACGCTGCCGCGGCCCTCGCCGGCGCCGCGCCCCCGGCCGCCAACGACCAAAACTCCTTCGTCCGGTCGATCTACTTCACGTCCGAGGAGCTGGTATGTCCTTGCCACCCGGCCGCCCGGGGGAGGGGGGGCCCTTCGCTTGGCTGCCTGCCTGCCTGCCGAAGGGCCCCTTCTGTGCCCGGGCCCGTGCGCCGCCAGCAGCCGCGCGGGATACTGACCTTTGGAGCACTGCCTCTTCTCTCTGCCGTCGCTGTCGCCGCCGCCGCCGCGTGCGCGCGCTCCCCCCCCCCCCCCCCCCCCCCCCCCCCCCCCCCCCCCCCCCCCCCCCCC